TCATTTTGTTCGATTTATTTTTCCCCTCATCTGTTTTTTAGATGGGATATGGGGGCAAAGGTTTGGGCTTTATTTGCGTCGAGTTCTCGAATTTCTTAGTCAATTAGCTGCTAGTATTCTGTTGTTTAACCTACTGTAACGTTAGTTTTATGAATCATTACCGAATTGACGAACATCTGAAGAAGGTGACGTGATCGATATTTGAGGAAAGAAGTAAGAGAAAGAACAAGAGGCAGAGGGAGAATAAGGAAAACTTTTTGGCTACTTGAACGTTCACTGAATCGTATCAGCAAAGCTTTGGTGATCATCTATTAGATTTTGATTGGCTCAAAACTAAGGGGGTACACTCTCGATTATATTCGGCTGTCTTTATGATAATATCTCAAGCTCCGCCCATTAGCTGGCTCTTAGCAAGCAACTCTCTGGGAAGAATTTGTTGGTCGACTCAATATTCGTGAGCTGCTGCTGCTGGTCCGTCTTTCCCCTTGGTTTATTATTCAGGGAAAAAACCCATTGAAGTTAACTAAAAGTTAGTATTTGTTGCTGGTGATATATTTGAAAAAAGAAGCAAATTTTTTTTGTACTTTTTCATTACATCTGACACAGTGGTGTATGTACTTTAACTAACTGCAAGACCATCAAGGCGGCATCAGAGCAAAGTGAAAAAGCAATCGTCAGTGTTCCCATCTTCTAAACACTGGAAGTCATTTTTGAAGGTTATTGTGGGAGAATCGTTGAGACTTTTCCTAATTCCCATCCCACACTCTCGTCAATTCCACTGAAAAGATCAGCCCTCCTCCCAATTCGGGAATGGATTATGCTTCAGTTCCAACACAACAGCAAACGAATTTACATGCATCTCAGACGTCACAGTTTGTCGCAACATGCTTGTCGGCGACCTTGCCGAATAATAACGATTCTGGTGGGGTATCGTCTGTGGTACCACCATACTATGCAACATCGCCGATTGATTTAGGCGGTTCGCCATCTGGTGCTTCACCGTCGTACTGTTACTCGCAGCAGCAAATTCAGCATCCTGGACTACAGTCTCAGCAACTTTTATGGCAGTCAGCTAATGGTTTTCAGCAGTTTGAAAATCAAAATCCTATTTTGCCGCAGCATTTTGTTCAGAATCCTCAACTCTTCTATCACTCGCAACATCTAAACCATTGCGGTATTGAAGTCAAATTCCTAATTTTTTTCTTACAGTTTTGTAGTTTTTTAATGTTTAGAAAAAATCTTATTTTTAAGTTGAGAATTAGTGAATTTTTTTTAGTTTTAATTTTGACTATAGTATTTTAACGAAGGTTTGAATTTTTTAAGTTTGGTTAAACTTTTACTTTGCTAAAGCAAAAATTTTTTTTTAAGCTTATCATCTTGGCAGTACTTTTGAGCCTTGTTCGTGGCAGCATACAGTGAGCATTTTTTTGATATTAAAGGCTAATTCTAGTAGTTTAATTTTTTTACTTACTTACTTTTACTTTTTTTTTACTTTTTTACTTATGTATATTTTTTTGGCAGTTATTATATCGATGATATGTCTTTTAAAAATAATTACTTTTAGATACGTTTTATGGAGGGGTTTCAACCCCGTCTTCAGGAGCCTTTGGTTCATCGTTTGATACTTTTGGGGCTCCAACCGCTGTTCAGCAGCCACCACAACAAAGTGGTGTCTACTCCAATATAGTTTCATTTCCACAACAAATGCATTTTCTAAATGTTATTGCTGATCAGCAACAGTTAACTAGGTAAATGAAAGCTATCGTACCAAAAAGTTGACGTTTTGTGGGATTCAAAAATTTTTTTTCTAAGATTTGTTGTAAGTATGTGGTAAGATGAAACTTGTTTGTCATAAAAATACATTTTTTTCTTTTCAGAGAAGTTATGCAAGATTATTTGAATAATCAGTCGAAATATGACTGTATTGTAAGTATATTTCATGCTAAGGTGGCTCAGAAATCGTATGGAAATGAAAAAAGGTAGGATCTGTGGTAAATAATGTCAAGTGTTTTATTATTGATGTAACACTTAATCTAACCAGATGTTTAACATTGATTCGTTCTGAGGTGTAGGTGTAACAGTTATTTTGCCGCATTTGAGGTTAACCTTTGGAGCTGTAGTACCCTGAATTATTTGTTTCTTTATAGTTGAGACTTGAGTGTTGTATGCGTTTGTGTAGATTAGTTGGTCATTCGTTAATGGATTGTATGGTTAAGAAAGTGTTAATGAGTTATTAGTGTAACAGTTATCTGTTTGTTTGTCTAAAAAGGTGGAAAGGAAGAGATGAGGTGCTGTAACAAGCAGTGGATATGATTTGTTTTTCTAAGGCTTGTGGTACAACTGCTTTTGGTCTTTTGAGGTAAGGTGGTTTGTTTTCTTTAGGAGGTAAGGGGATTTTGGTTGGTTTACGTTGTGAAGCGCAAATATTGTTTCATGGTCTCTTCGATAACCCTATTATTTTTAGTATTTCTTTGATAATAACGGCAATTTTATTATCTTATCCGATTTTTCACTTTATAGACTAGTACGGTAACACGTAGAGTTTCGCGAAAAAGAAAAAAGAAGCGATTCTGCAAGAATTTTATGATGAGAACTGAAATGAAAAAGTTTAAAGCTTTTTGGTCAAAATTGATTGCTAAAAATAAATAAACTGGTTGTCTGCATTCTTTCTGATGAGCTTGAATAGTTGCATATGAATTAAGTACAAAGTAGGCTGATGGTTTTTTACTTCTTAAGAATCGTTATACACTGAAACTTGTTAAAAGTAACTGTGAACAACAAATAGCACTGACATTTTTTTTTTTTTTGCTTTTGCTAGTAAAGCTTTGTTGTATGCTTATAGCAACGATAGCTATATTCTGCTGGCTTAAGCAGAATCATTTGATGATTATTAGGAAGCTGTAAAGGAGAGATTTTTTTTTGGTTTAACAGTTCCGTAAAGTTTAGAAAGGTTGAAATTGTTCTTGAGCTTGAACACTGTCACTTGAAGCTTTCAATGGGTGAATGGGGGTTGTGTATGGTTTTTGGTACCTGATTTACTACTTCCTTTCAAAGGTTATATAAACTGTAACATTTGCAATAATTTTTCGACATTTTTTTGTATTTTGCATTTGAAAACATTTTTTCTTGTGGTTTTTTTGTGCGCCGATACAGCAAAAATGGTTACATGTCTTATGCTTTTTTATTTTCATTTTTATTTTTTTATTTTGCCTTTTTGGCTTTTTTAGATGACTGAATGGCGGAAGAAAATTGCATAACAAAATTATGTTTTTTAGGGAGGAGACTGTATAAAAAGGAGTATAAAGGGTGCTAACGTTTGCTTTCAATGTTAAACTTGTTACAGCGGATTTTAACTTGTGTCTTTTTGCTTTTATTAAAAGGCAATTGGCTACAAGTTTGCTTGATGCTGAGGTGTAATTCTTAAGCTTTAAAAGTCTGAAATTAAAAGGAGACAAGTGAGTGTTTTGTAAAGTAAAAAAAAAAAATCAGTTTTTATTGTTTAGTGGTGAGAAA